CCCCAAAACCCCAAAACCCCAAAACCCCAAAACCCCTTCTAATTCCGCCAGGTTGAAAGTAACATTAACTCTTTCTTCTCTGGCCTGTTTCTATCTGACTCCTGATAGCCCTAATCCTATCAAGGACTTCCATATATTTGCCTTTAAGTTCCTCAATCCTACAATTATTCATCAACCAATTATCTTCTCAGTCCAATAAATCTCTAAAATCCCAAAGATGCCAAGGTGGCCAAATCCAGTCGCTTACCTTAATTTTTCCAGTGAAATTTTGAGATTTTCTTTCATGATTCTGATTTCCCATAACTTTTCTCTTCGAGCCACCGACCTGATTTTATTCTATAGTAAGGCATAGTTGCGAGGCAGTGGTTTCAGTCTGGTTTTAGGTGACAGGAATTAATTTTAGGGAATTTAAGAAGCTTATTAGGTGAAATATGGATGCTTGATGACATAGGATAGGGAATGGAGGTAATTACAGCAGAAACAGAGAGGATATTTATAGACTTCTGTGGTTAATTAGTAATAAGATTAAGCTGGATAAGCCAAGTTGTAAGCTTGCTATATGATTTTTTTGGGTCGAAGAAGAAAACTTACTGTGTAGATTGAGCTCATAAGCACTATATAAGGTGTTAATATTAAGTATAGTATCCAGAAAGCTCTGGAAAATGTGAATAATCAAAAGTTAACTATTCAATGATAATGTGCTCATCAATTAGTTAGTTAAATTTTTAAAGATTAAGAGTACCTGAGAGTCAAGTATTTCTGCTTGAGGAAATTTATCTCTTCTGTATTGTTAAGGACATCCTTTTCCAGCCTATGAAAAATTATCAGAGCATTTACGTTCTGAGTTTTGAATGGGGTTGCGTAGTAGAGGACAGTTGGGAGAGGTTGCTATGAGAGCTAAGTGAATCAGGAGGGCTCTATATTATCAGGTATTTTCTTTTCAGATAAATCTTATGATTAAGACGCAAAAAAGTTGATTTTAATTAATTGTCTCACTTCTTTTTTTAGATACTTGTTTAGAAGCTTTAATCCGATCTTGGTATGACAAACATCCATTCTATGAAGAATTATCTAAAACTTTCAATTTATTAATTTTAAAAAGGGGTTTTGGGGTTTTGGGGTTTTGGGGTTTTGGGG